GTCTTATTTGATTCTGTATGTATTTAGGAATATGGATATATGATTAATTGGTAAAAATGATGCTCTGGGAGAGAGAACGAAATTATAGAAAAGTGCCTGTAAGTTAAGTTGTGAAAAATTGGATGATTTCTGTTTGAGGAATTGATGATCCCATTAGATTCTGTATGTGATGAGGATTATAAATATGCCAATAATTTGTAAGAATGATGATCTGAGAGAGAGAACGAAATTGTAGAAAGTGCCTGTGAGCTAGGTTTTGGAACAATTGGGGGTTTTACTATTTATGTTAAGATTGTATTAAATTGATAATTCCATTGATTATCATATTAACTTATGATTGTTATTGCTATATTACTTGATAAAATTGATGACTTAGATGTGAATTGCTTGAGATGTATGAAACTCATTATTTTGGACTTATCTGATGCGTGTATGGAATTGAACTATGGGATGTTGTGTGGGATGTGAATGAGATGTGATTGTGGTTTTTCACACCTATGACCAGGGGTGAGCACGGCCCTGGGTTAAGGGTAACGTGACCTTGGCACAGTGTTATATCAGGGGTGAGCACGGCCCGGGTATGTTATATGAGTATCGTGACCTTGGTTAACATGTCAGGGGTGAGCACGGCCCTAGGCTAGGGGTAACGTGACCTTGACACAGTGTTATATCAGGGGTGAGCACGACTCTGGATTGTTACGTGGGTATCGTGACCTTGAATAACATGTCGGGGGTGAGCACGACCCTGGGCTAGATATGCTACAGGGAAATTGTGACCTTGGCACAGTGTTATATCATGGGTGAACACGACCTTGGATTGTTAATTGGGGTCATCATATTTCGTGCATAGTCGTTCTTTCTCTCCTTTCTTTATAGCTTACTTAAGGAGAATCAATCTCCTAACCATTCTGAAAACAAGCTATATAATTTTGGTCATTTTATTAGTAAGCTTTAATTTTTTATATGGTAATCTCTGTAGTGGCTGATTGATCACCCGGAATTTCTTTTAAATGAATTTTACATCGGAGGTGATTCATATTCTGGCATACCTGTCCCTGGTATTGTTCAAGAAATTTCAAATGGTAAGAAATTTTAAAAGGTTTAATTGGTAATATGAATCAGTTATTCAATTAATAGCTAATGTCTTTACAACTTATTATAACAATGTAGTAGAAAATGTTTCATAATCATTTTATCTAATATTCTCACACTCATATACTAATTATTTGGATTCTTGTTCGGTGTGTGGAAGTTAGCAAAACAGAAATTCCAAGTCAAGAGAGGAAGTATTAATTTATTGTTTTTACTCACTATACTCAAATTAATTATTTAATTACTCCCTTATATTCGTTTGTGACTTGTTCTGTCACTTTTGAAACTCGGTATAAAGAAAAATGAAATAAATAAAAAATACTTTACACTCTAGTTCATATCACCTAGCTTTGCAAAATTCGAGTCCCTTAAAAAATAATTCACGAGAACAATATATGTAAAATTACACTGATTACTTGTTGTACAAGAGAAAAACATGCACATGCATAGCTATATTTTGCTTAACATGCACCTGATAAACCTAACCATTATCATTGAATTTCCTTGATTAACAGGAAATGAAATAGGTCTACAACCACAGATAAATCTCCAGGTTTGCAATTAATTTACCTGTCTATGCTTTTACTACACACAAAAGAAAATTTTGGATAGTAGGTTTTGATACTGGAATCCAAATTTTAAAACGCCAAAACATTCAACCAAGCTTTTCAAAATTCACCTTTTCAAGGTTGTAATGTAATCAATTCCTCTTATGAACAATGAAGCCTACATTGATCTAACGTTATTTCCAGGGATATCTATTAGGGAACCCAGTAACAACAGGAAAAGAAAATAATTATCAAATCTCATTTGCTCATGGAATGGGACTTATTTCAGATGAACTCTATGCGGTAAAAGTAGTACTTTTTTCCTGTTTAATAAAGCTATTTACGTTGTATTTTCTACTAAAGTTGTTAAAGACAGCTTATATGTTTGTACTTAAATTTTGCATGAAAATATTTGAGTATCCTTGTTCACCAAAAGAATGTTAAAATGAAATGCCAATGATTCTTAGTCATCTACTGTCTTTGGACAGTCACTGCAGAGAAATTGTAAAGGAGAGTATATCGATATTGATTCCAGAAACGAATTGTGTTTAAGAGATATGAACTACTTTGAAGAGGCAAGTAATGAACATCCCATTTTTCTTAGCTATTCAGATCAGTTCGGTTTATTCAGCATATTAGTAAACTGTTATTTCTTATCTTCAGTGCCTTTCAGAAATTGATATGGGAAACATTTTGGAACACTGCTGCAAAGTTGATTTGCCTAAGAAACATGAAGCTCCGTGGAGGAGATATCTGTATCAAAAGTTTGAGGCCTCTCTTAATTCTTATTATACGAGAGAGCCAAACTTATGCTGCAATGTAACTTTTGCATATCTTGTATAGAATCTTTCACACATATTTTGTCCACAATGTTCCAAATTTGATTTTCTCCATTTTACGTTATTGTAGATTTTTAGTGACTTCATTTCCGCTCAATGGGCCAATGATGAGAGTGTTCGCAAGTCGCTGCATACTCGAGAGGTTTGGTATAATATATACTTCATTATGCTTAGCGGATTGGTAATGCAACACCACAATTAGCAACAAATACTTAATTCTATGTTCAGTTCTAAATGGGTTGAAATTTGAGTCAGACATTGATCAAAGTAGCCTTAAGAGTTAATGGGTATCATACACATATTAATGTACATACCTTAATATATATTGCAGGGAACTATAGGCAAATGGGAACGCTGTTACAAAACTGATTTTAAGTTTCAGATCTCTAGTAGCTTCGACATTCATGTAAATCTTAGTGCAAAAGGATACCGTTCATTAATATACAGGTGACGATTTTCACATCTTAAGTTAAATTTTAGTTTTCTGAAAACTGTTGTTTTTTTTCTTTTAGCTATCTCGTGGCTATCAGGAGCCAGCTGATTTCACAAGGCAAACGGTATTTTGTTGTTGACAGCGGAGATCATGATGCAGTTGTTCCTTTCATATCGACCCAAGCGTGGATTAGGGCTCTAAACTACTCCATTGTGGAAGATTGGAGGCCATGGCTTATAGAAGATCATGCATCAGAATCAGACCTTTACTCGTACACTTGCATGTGTTGGTCCAAGTGGGAAAATCGTGGGTCCCCTGAAGCATATGGGACCATGAGTTTGACCCAAAATTTATCTGCATTGAGAAAATACCGAATGATCTTATATTGGTATATAGTGTACGGGACATCATTAATGCTAGAAAAGGAGATGCACCTTCGTCAATCCCATTTTACCTAATTATATAAAATTTCTATATTATTCCTAATTGTCAGCCCAACCCATATAATAGAAGACGAAATTGTTGGGTTAATTAATTAAGATATTGTGATCCAATTATTTAAATAATTGTAATTAATATCTTATCATATCTTTTAGACATTTATTTGTATTTTGTGAATATTTATACTTTATTTATGTATATATCTATTGTACCGAAAATATTTGAAATAAGAAAATCTGATTTTATTTTATTTTATTCTCTATATGATATTAGATTAGCCTATATCTTTACGGTCACTTCTCGATTCACCCATGGTTTCCCTAATTACTACTGTGCTTGTAGAATTCACCACTACATACATCATTAAACTCAGTTCTAACGATCATCGCACTTGACATACTCAAATAACTCATTTTTTACAAGCCCATGATCTTTATAGTACATCATTAGCAACAGACCCTGTCCCAATCCAACTATTGGTGAGGAGATGCGGTCATTGTCAACCCTGCCTACACCATTGGAAACATCAAGTTCACTATGTGTTTCTCACTCCTATGGCCTTGATGCACAACTTGTCATGACCTTGATCACTTCTTCTATCGCTGCACGGGTGAGGTTAAACAAACACTATGTGAATAGGTCTTGTACTCGTGTAATGTCTCTAAAAGAATGCTTTTCATTTGTCACCAAAGGCACCTCCCGTGTCAATAATTATTTGCGTTCAATACTATTGATAGAGGATGAATTTGCTTTTATTGGTCATCCTGTTGATGACCTTGATCTTGTCATTACCGCTCTCAACGGTCTTGGACCATCTTTTTGCGAATTCATAGCCTTAATTTGCACTAGACACATTCCTTTATTGTTTGATGAACTTTTTGACAAATTAGTAGATTTTAAAATTTTCATGCAACAGGATGAACGTCAACTACAATCTTTTCCTATCAATGCCAATTACACAAATATCTCTCAACGGTCAAATTGTAGCAAACAATATTTTTCATCAAATTGTATTAGCTCCTTGATCGAAGCCGTATCCAGTCAAATAAAATAATTAAAATGCAGTACTAGGAAGTGACTCCTAAGTCGTCTCCCAAGGACCACTTCTTTCTGTCAAAGGATCAAACACGCAGTGGGGGGGGTTTGAGCAGATTATCAAAATTAAATAAAACACAGAGCAGATGTGAATTAATTGCAGTAATTAAAATAGGTCAGACCCTTGAGCATAATGCACCTCTGATATCCTCGGTTCACAACAGATAATTTGTCCAAACTTAATCCTGTTCAGTCCAGATTAACCAACTAAGCGAAGATTAACCTGAGACCTCACTACACGAATTAAGCAAACGTGAACCTTGTCAGACCTCCTTCCTCAAGATTAAGCAACCTGAGATACTGAACGCAAACAACCCAAAATCATTAAGCAGCATGACTCAGATGTTGAACGCCTCAGAACAGAGACCTCACAAGGAAGAATATCAAGCGGAGCATAAATGCAACACATAGAGAACCTCCATTAGAGGGTTGCAATCTGCCCAAGGGCCCAACCCTGGGGTTCTAGCCTTCCATAAAATCAAAACGCAGCAACAGAGACATAATGCTAAACATCAAAACAAAAAATGGAGAACAGAAAATGAATACGAATGGTAATCAACTCATAACAGAAAAACAAACATGCACAACAACAACAAGAACATAAATTAAAATAGAGCAATGAAGATGAAACGAAACTGTATAAATGAATAGGGTTTACTTAGTCTGATTCTGTCTCACAAGGAAGAAGAAGAAAAACCAAGGAAAAACTGGCTGAAACACAAAACGAAATTAAAATGGAGGCTGCCCCCTTGCATGGCAGCAATCCCTAGGTTAAGTCTGACCTAGAATGACTAATGGGCCCCCAACAATACAAGTCTGACCCAAACTACAATAAAATAGATTAAAAACTGAAAATAAATGCTGAGGTGGAAAATGGTGCAGCGGTGACATGGAAGATGACGTGGCAGCTCCTCTTGAAGTCCAAAAATTAATTCCAAGCCCAACTAATTATTAAACTGCCCTGAAAATAAAATTTGGAATAATTAGATTCAGAAAATTCAAATTAGTTAAAATATGAATTACCGGTCCAATTAAAGCCCAAATAGAAAACAGTGCAGAATATCAACAATTAAGCACAAATCAGAAATTAAAATAAGTATAGAAAGGTAAGAAAATATGGAAAAATAATGACTCATCACTCCTCTTCTAGAGATAATAGTCAAGGCTCTAAATGCCAAATTTCTATCTATTAATATTGTGATCACAAAGGCTATACGACGAAAACATGATATCGATTACATGGTTTTCCAATTAATTCACTAGTGCAAAAATTGGATTTAAAATCGGAGTTTTAAGATCGGTTACAAGGTAACCGATCTTAAAAGTGACGCGGTGGCAATTTTGTAAATAATATGAACACTTTTAAGATCGGTTCAAATTTAACCGATCTTAAAAGTACTTTTAAGATCGGTTATTTTATGACCGATCTTAAAAGGTATACATTTAAAATCGGTTCAAATATAACCGATTTTAAAAAATATTTTTAAAATCAGTTACATTTTAACTGATTTTAAATGTTTTTTGGACATGGCCAATCCAAAATAGCTTGCACCTTACTCTTGTCCATCGCCACTCCTAGGCCTGAAACATTATGGCCTAAATAATCTACTTTCTGAAGTCCAAAAGAACATTTAGACAATTTGGAAAATAGTTTATGCTATTGTAATTTCTGCAATACGACCTCAAGATGATGTAAATGAGCAGACCATGAAGAGCTGTATACTAAAATATCATCAAAAAATACAAGAACAAATTTCCTCAACAAGCCTTGGAAAATTTCATTCATCAAAGCCCGAATAATTATTAAACTGCCCTGAAAATAAAATTTTGGAATAATTAGATTCTGAAAATTCAAATTAGTTAAAATATGAATTACCGGTCCAATTAAAGCCCAAATAGAAAACAGTGGAGATAATCAACAGTTAAGCGCAAATCAGAGATTAAAATAAGTACAGAAAGGTAAGAAAATAGGGGAAAATAATGACTCATCATAGGGAAGCTATCCTTAACAGTGATAACATTCAAGGCCCTATAATCAGTGCAGAATTGCCAGGTTCCATCTTTCTTCTTGACAAGAATTATTGGAGAGGAAAAAGGACTAGTGCTAGGGACAATAAGCCCCTCCTTTAACATATCATGAACCATAATCTCAATCTATTGTTTCTGGTTATGTGGATACCTCTATGGCCTGACTTTCACTGGTTCAGATCCTTGTAATAGAGGAATAGAATGGTTTTGTGACCTACTAGGAGGAAACCCAGAAGGTATAGAAAACACCACCCTATAAGTAAGCAACAACACCACCAATTCCGGTTCCATATCAGTAGGTAAATCTAACCATTGGTCTTGAGGACAGTCTGACTGTTGAAATTGTAGTGTGAATAACTCAACTATGGCATGTGTGTGATTCATTCTTCTCATATGATTATATTGAGCTTGCAAAGGTAAGGTTGGTTGCTTGCCATGCAATGTGACAAATTGGTTTCCCAGGTAAAACTTCAATGTAAGGTTGCTATAATATGAAATGTGGGGACCAAGAGTAGCTAACCATGCAGCCCCTAACACTAAGTCAGCCCCAGTAACAGGTAATAAATTCACTGGCAAGGTCAATGAATGGCCCTGAATTCTGACTTCAAAGTCCTTGACCAACCCCTCAGCAACTAAGGCATTACCATTTCCCACCAGAACTTGAAAATTTGGAATTGGCTCAATAGGAAACTTCAAACAATGAGCTATTCTTGGTTGTAAAAAATTATCACTCGAGCCACTATTTAATAACACTTGTACTATTATGCCATTGACAGAACCCTGGAACTTCATTGTACCCAAACCGAAGGCTCCTTTTAATGCATTATAATAAGATAAATGATGCTCTTGGGACAAATGTAATTTTGTGCTATGCTCAATATCTGGAGGTTCTGGTTGTAATTCTCCATAGTCCTCATCTTGTAATTGGAGAAGCAAATATTGTTTGTTGGGGCACCTATGGCTTGGGGAAAATTTTTCATCATAAGTATAACAAAGGCCTTCTTCTCTCCTAAGTTGCATCTCAGTAGGGGTTATTTTCTTAATATTGGTATTTCTTATGGTTGTTGTGATTGGAGATGTATTAGGATTAGGAAGGAGGGGTGGTAAGCTAGTGGATTTAATGGTTTGGCTTATAGGTAGGCTTGTGTTTGTGGCTTGTGGTTTGGTTGCTGGGTAGGCTTGATAGTGTTTGGGTTTGGAAAGGTACTTCTCTTCATATAACTTGGCCAAGGAAACAGATCGAATCAAAGTTGAGGGCGATTGAGCAATCACATCCCTTCTAATATCCGGTTTTAAGCCTCCAATAAAACAATCGAACAAAGCTTCAGTGGTGATACCTTGCACACGATTAGCTAGAGCAGTGAATTGAACATAATAATCATGCACAGAATCTGTTTGTGTTAGCTTAAACAAATGCGATCGGGGACACTCATATGGAGAAGGACCAAACTCCAATTCTAAGGCTCAAGTAAACGCAACCCATGAATGAAATGAATCATGACGAGTCATCATTTGATACCAAGGTACCACTTCCTTGTATAAATGTATGGCAGCTATAGTAAATCTATGATCATAAGGAGTATTGTAATACGAAAAAAATTGCTCGGCCTTGAAGATTTACTGCAATACATCGGATCCATCAAAGCGAGGAAAATCCAGCTTGAAATTACACACCTGAAACAGTTGGGAAGGGTTCGCGGACTTTTGCTGCAGCAATGTATCAATGGCAGACTCCAGGGTCTCAAATCTAGTCGCATTTTCTTTATCTCGTGTGTCCATTAATTCCAGGATTCGCTTAACATCAACAGTGAGTTCTTTAAGGCGAGTATTCTCTACCATGTGGATGAAAGCACCAATGTAACAGAGTAATTAACAAACAAATGCTCCAGAAATTGAAATTACACACCTGAAACAGTTGGGAAGGGTTCGCGGACTTTTGCTGCAGTAATGTATCAATGGCAGACTCCAGGGTCTCAAATCTAGTTGCATTTTCTTTATCTCGTGTCTCCATTAATTTCAGGATTCGCTTAACATCA